GAATTGAATAAGTATAAAGAGCAAGTTGAAGATTTAGAAAAAAAACTTACAGAAATTTTGTTAGTTTGACATGAGGAACAAGAAGAAATTGATAGTGTTTCTTGAGAAGATCAATTTCATAACTGAGACTTAGGAGAGTTAATAAATTTAACAAGCAGAACAGAGAAAGAATTAAATAAAATTGACTTTGAATTCATTGAAAAATTAGAACAAAGTTCTAAAGGCCTAGCTGAAGCAATAAATAAGGCTGAAGAATGGAAAAACTGACAAAAAGGTCTTTTGAATGATGAAATCAAACAAAAATCACTAATGTTACAAAATAGAGGCCTGCACAGGTCATCATAATTGAATGATTACCCAACCCGAACCTATATAAATTTATAATTTGCAATCCGAACCCGACTTGTACACAAAAAATTTCAATCCAAACCCGAACTCAACCCGTTTTTTAACAATTTGTAACACGATTTTATTTAAAAAACAACTTTTATTGCAATTGTTAGTTACAAGAAAGAAAATTTTACTACAATGAGCTTCTTTATACAAGAATACCATCGAATTATTAGTTTTAGTTTATTTTATTCGTTTATGCGTTTATTTGAATTATTCATTTTTATTTTATTCGAATTATTCGAATCATTCAAATCATTCGTTTTATTCATTTATTCGAATCATTTTTTTTATTCATTTATCCGAATCGTTCAAATCGTTCATTTTATACGTTTATTCGAATCGTTCATTTTATTTATTCGTTTATTCGAATCGTTCGTTTTATTCGTTTATTCGAATCGTTCGAATCGTTCGTTTTATTCGTGTATTCGAATCGTTCGAATCGTTCGTTTTATTCGTGTATTCGAATCATTCGTTTTATTCGCTTTATTACTTAAGTTGAGCAACCTCGAGTTAAAACTTGAATTCTCAAGTTCGAGCTGAGTTCAAGAAAATAGGCTCTTAAATTGTTTTTTAGGTAATGTGCATAAATAAAATTAATCATTCGTTACTTTAAAAAAAATTATGTGGCGTCAGACTTGAGCCTGGCTCGAGCCTATTATTTCTTGGATCGAGCTCGGCTCGAACTCGAAATTTCGAGCTTCAGCTTGAGCCGGCTCGGCTCGTTCGGAGCTTTACTTTTTTTAATATTTTTAATCTTTAAAAGATAATATATTCATTATATTATTCTAAAATTAGACAGCAAATTATTTCTCTACTGATTTTCTTTTCTTTCTGGGTTCTTTGTGGTTCTGTGTTAATGTTCTTAGTGTTTATTATTTTTCTTCCTTGGTAAATTTCATAAGTAATCTTTTCTTTTCTTAGATGAGTTTCAATTGCCTGAGTATCATTTATTTTGAAATGTAAGGAGAAATTTTTTCACCTTGTCCCTTTTTAAAATACCTCTAATGGTGCTGTAATTTAATAGATCTGATATAAATTTCATATTAATTATTTTTTATATAGAGATAAACCTATATCACTTAACAAATGTGACATTATAAAACTAGTTGTGATGATGATAACTAAATTTTGATCCCTGAAATCTTTGGTAATGCCAATTTTGTTACAGTATCCCCATATTATATTTACATGTGTAAATATTAAATCAATATTTTTAGTATGTTCAACGGATCAACCACTTAAAATTTCATCTACTTTGAGGCTCAACTTGCAACCCTTGATCATAAAACAATTATTTGTGCTCGTTACAATGATGTATTACATATTCACTCATGTAAAGTATCAATTTCAGTAATATTAAATATAAGTTTATATGAATACAACATGAGCATATATATATTTGCACAGAATTTTTAAATGGTAATAGTTTTTTAATTCAACGACTTTCCTTTTTTTAGTCTCTTTTACAACTTATGGATAAGAAAACTGGTAGAAAATCTAAAAGACCTCCACAATTTGTTAAAAACGGTCAAAAGGAAAACTTGAAATACCCAGGCCCAATTTGTCTAGAGGCATTTGCTGACTATCCCAATGTTGGTTGATTTGGGTTTTTTAATACAAAAGTATCGAAAATTTAAAAATTGTAAAAAAAAAATCACATTCTTTTATATTTGTGCCACAAACATGCAAATTAAGATCTACTATTTAATCAATCTTTACGCAGTAGTAGAGTTTTTTCCATGGCAATGTCGTCGCATTCTTCAATTCTATTATTATAAATTAAATTAAAAAATCGCTCAAAAAAAAAAAAATGGCACATTTATGGCTTCGTGCTGAAACAAAAGCTGATGAACATCGAGCAGCTTTAACGCCAAATACAAGCAAACAATTAATTCAAAATGGTAGTGAATTTTTCCCCAATGTCCTTTCGTTGAACTTTTATGCTTGTAATAATACTTTATATTTATGTTTATGTTATGCGTATAGGCTTTAAAATCACAGTAGAAAAATCTACGCAACGTATTTTTGATGATGAAGAGTATGAAAGGTTTGTAAATCTTGAAAAAAAAATTTTTATTTATTAATTGAAAAATTTATTTTCGATTATTTATTATCATTATCATTATCATTATCATCAACTTCATTATTTGATTACTTAGAATTGGTTGTACACTAGTTCAATCTGGAACTTGGAAAACAGCTCCATCCGACGCTTACATTATAGGTTTAAAGGAATTACCAGAAAATGACGATTCACCTCTTTCTCATACACATATTTATTTTGCACATTGTTATAAGAATCAATCTGGCTGGCAAAGTATTCTAAAAAGGTTTATCAATGGCAAAGGATCGCTTCTCGATTTAGAGTTTTTAAATGATGAAAAAGGTTTGTCAACAAATAATTAAATTTAATGTATTCATATTAATATTTATATTTTATAATTTTTGATAGGTCGTCGTGTTGCTGCATTTGGTTATCATGCAGGGTTTGCTGGAGCAGCTATTGGACTAGATGTTTGGGCACAACAAATTCTTCACCCCAAACAAAAATATCCAAGTGT